AAGGGGACTCAGCATACCCTTCTGAAACACAAATACTATTTGGGCTATTTTTCTGGACTTGTTCCTAATCTGTAGTATATATTCTAGCTGAATTTTTTTAATCATTTTGCTTTTAAATTATAGATGATTATAGATTGATCTTCATTTTTAATTTCTTCATTATAATAAATCTTCTCCTTCTGGACAATTTTCTCCAGAGGTATTAGATTTAAGTGCATTGGTGTGATTATTCTTGGTTAGGTAATAACTTTTGCATCAGACCACAACTACTTACTGTATCTTTGTAGTGACCAACAGTCTTTTTCTGATAACTATGAGAGTAATTAAATTTTTCCATTGTTACAACACTTTCCCTCTGATGCCTTCCCGGATTTTTTTTTAAAAAATCATCCTTTTGGTTTTAGCTAAGGAATTGGATTTCACCCACATTCTTTCACAGAGGAGTGTGTTCCTGTTAACTTATGTCTGCTCCATGTATCCTTTCTTGGATTCTCTATGGAGTTGTTTTTTTTGTCAAAAATAAGTCACTGAATCTTTCTGTTTTATACCAATTCTGTATATTCTTTGACACACCAAAAATGTGGATTAAGAAGGAGTCATGTAGATCAATGAATCCAAAACATTATTTACTGCTGAAATTTATATTGATGCATCCTTGCAGGAAACCAGCATTCTTTTTGCTTTTCTAGTTAATGATATATTCTGTTATTTTTTAAAAATATATTGAACTATGTCTAGAATACAGTAGTTGACATATGCTAAGTTGTTTTGTAACATTTCTGTTCTGGACTAAAACTGTAATAAAGTAGTTGCTGCTTTTGTAGAAGCTCAAGGCAAAATTGAGTATATCTGTCTTTTCTCTGTTATATTTATATACTAGCTGTACCCGGCCACGTGTTGCTGTGGCTCAGTCTGGTTAAATGGAAAAGAAAGAAACGAGAAAGCGCACGTTTGTAATATGTTTAATTTCGCAATGCTTGTGGGTATACAATATTTTTTGTTGTTCCATTGTCTGTGCAGATATAGAGATTGTCTGGTTTGCCGACTCTAGAACACGCAACATATAATTGTCCATGTGAGAAGCAATCCGTGTCTAGATCTAAACCGCACAATTCTAAAGATTGGCCCTGAGCTTTGTTGATGGTGATTGCAAACGGCAATCGAATTGGGAATTGCAATCTCTTAAATTGAAATGGCATATCAGCGTGTGTTGCTTTTACTTCCAACAGATGGCGCTGTTTTTCAAAAAAAGCATGTTTTTACCTGTCACAGGTGTGACATCTATATAATAGTAGGTATATAAAAACACGCACGTATTCGAATGCAACGTTGTGTCAAAATTTCAAAGCAATCGGTGAAGAACTTTTGGAGATTTAAGATTTTGAACAAACGAACATTTACATTTTTATTTATATAGATTTATGTTTTGCTACCACTGTTGAGCAGCTGGAATAATATTTCCAATATTTAGTTTTAGCATATTTAAAGAAGTTCTTTCAACATTCTGATACCATCTCTAGAGTTCCAGGTTATTTCTGTGTCTTCTTCTTTTGTTCTTTTCCCACTACCTCGTTACTTTTTTTGTACAGATACTTCAGTTTTTGTTTTGTTTTCAGTTGTGCTTTTATTGACCCTCATTTTAGTATCCTCTACACATCTGGAAAGCCTTTTCTCATTAGCTTCTCCAATCTTACAATTCTGCTTATTACTACACTGAGTTCATTAATTTTTTAAATTCCAGGATAAGCATTCAACCACACATTTTAGTTTTTATTTACTTTGAAAATTCCAATGTTATATATTCAATCTTCTTGTGCCTTTTTCTAAAGAAGAAACTTGTTATCAAAAAAAGTCAGAAATTTCCTTAAAGGTCTATGCTCAACAGAATATTTTTCCTATCAGATGTTGGGTTGATGAAAAGTTTCACTACTACTTATTGAAAAAGAACTTATTGGACTGTTTTTTTTATGAGAGATCTTCATGAAAATCTCCCAGATTCAGAGTGCAAATATTTTTTTCAAAATAAATATTTTATTGATTTTCTATTTTCACAAATAAGTGCTCCATAAACAATGTGGTGACTGAGTTCATTAATAATTCAGTGATGCATATAAGTTTTTCCAACTAAGTCCAATGTTACACCCGCCAATACATCCTCTCTTCTTCTGGTAATAACAATTTTTCGCATTAGGCAAATACAATTCTTATTATTGTTAGAAAACATCCAATTGCATATCAACATTTATTACATTTTTCTAATCATATCAATATCAGTTTAAAATATCTTTCCTAGCCAAAACATATCTTAATTGCATTTGCATTCAATTTCCACATATTTAGTCCATGTCCTATTTTTGCTTTTTTCCCCAATTTTAATTCCCCATCCATGTTCAAAGTATCCAATCATTTATAATTTCAAACACGTTCTATTTGGGCAACCAAAAGAATCCCTTATTCAAAGTTCTTATCCATATTCTTATTTCCCTTTTCATACCAAGATATAATATTCTGATTACAAATCTTAACTGTCTGGTTATGATAATACTTCTGTTTCTAACAATCTATTCTTAACCATATTCAAACCTCTAATCAATAATATAGCATCCCCTCTAATAGGTCAAAGCTTCTATTTCCTTCAGTCTTACTCTAGCTTTCTTTCTTTGCCAAATAATTTTCCAAGTTAGTGCATTTAGGTAATCAAAAAATTCTTCCTCTATTTTTATATATATTATTTGGAACAAGAAAAACAATTTGGTTAAAATGCTTTTAGAAGAGCTAGCCCATTGATATTCTTCTCTGGTTCCCCACAGTTCTGTTAATGACTTTATCTTCCATTCCATCAGCTCTCCTTTCTTATTATCCAGTATGTTCTGAAAACTTGGTTTATAAAAAGTCTTTCCCGTTTCCAATATTATCGTTATATCTTCTGAGTTTTCATTTATCTGAGTCTGACAATATATTTCCTCCTTTAAATCATCAATGTTTGCGTCGGCATTCTCTAGTTTTCCTTCTATTTTCTGTGTTGCTGGTTCCTTCTCTGTAGTTGTCTTCTGAGTTTGTAGATTTGAGTTAGAGAGTTGTTCTTTTATCTCCTTTGTGTTATTAGTAACCTGTTCACAAGCTAGAATAATTGTTTTTTGTATTAATTTCAGCATGGAGAGTATTTCTTTCTGTGTTTCATCAGTATTTTCTTAGTGATATGACAAGTTAAGGCTGCTGGGAACAGATGTTAAAGATGATGTTTTACTATTTAATGCTGAGCATGAAACATCCATTTTATTTTATTTTATTTTAGCTTTATAAGTAGCCTTTATAGATTTATCCAACCGACTGTCCATTCCTGAATCTCCCCTAAGCAGATATAAGTTCAAATTTTTCTGTCCAATAAGAAATATATCCTTTCTGTCCAGGGAGAAAAAAGATCATTGAGGGTTGTTTAACAGCCAAAATTTATAATCCAAAGTGTTCCATATATTTCTTCTACAAAAAAATAATAATCCACAATGCAGTTCTGGAAGTCAGTATTTATGTTCAAAATTCAGACAGACCAAGTTTAAAATGTTTATAATCTCTGCCACATAGGTAAGCAGCCCCCGAGCCTGTTCCTTTTTTTTTCCTCAACTGTAATTTTTAATAATAAAATAATCCCAAGGCCAGTCAAAACCTTATCTAATTCTGGGCTTCAAGCCAGATTTCTTTTAGGCATAAATAAGTTGTGGTGCCATAATTCACCACTAGATGTCATCAATGCCACTTTCTGGTTTTTAAATCCAAAACATAGTGTTAAACTTTTGAAGTCTTTTTCTTTAGAGGAAATAAAAATAAAAAGGTCTTAAAAACACTTTTAGTCCCCAAATTTTCAAACTGTAAGTATATTTTAGTTCCAGTTGAATCTTATAGGTTCGCCAGTATTCCAAGCATTAATTTGCCGCTTTTCTTTTCTGAGGGAGTGGGGCAAAAATTCCCTTTCCCTCTTTCATCGGGAGGAAGTGCTTTGGGCAGCTTTTCAGGAAGAGTTCTCAAGATCATAAAGAAAGGATCAGGTCTCACCCAGTTTCATCCATGTTGCTGTAAAAATGCTTGGTAGTGCTTGTTGACTTCCGTAGTCTGCAGCTTAGGACTTCCGAATGCAGCCAGTCTTTTCCCCACTGGTTTGGAGGGCTTCCTCGGATTAAACAGGGGCTGCCACCACCCCCCATGATCAACGAACATCCCCTCCTCGCTTGCCACCTCTACGGGGCTACTTTCGACCCTTTCCAGGGTCCCCAGCAGGGGGAAACCAGACGCAATTGTTGGAGCCTCGTCCTCAAGCGTCTGCATCGCCAGGAAATCCCAACTGGAAGTCCAGAGTGCAAATATTGATAATGATGTAGTAGTACAGAGTTTACCTTGACTTTTGCAAATAGCTTTTTCTCTAGTTTGGCTACATTTTGTCCTCTTAGTCCTGTGAAGTAGGCAACATGAAATTAGTTATTTGGTTTGAACTTTCCCATTACTGGGACACCTTCATTTAGCATCGATACAATCTTTAAAGCCCTAAACACCCTAGGGCCAACTAACCTGTAGTATTACTTTCTCTTGTGAATGTGCAAATAAATCTATGACACTCTTATTTTGTTGCATGTGCCCAATATGATGCAGTAGTTAATTGGAAGAATATTAATAGAATACCTCTGCCAGCATCATTTTCAAATGGTAAAGCAGTATGGTTAGTCATATAGGAGGTGAGCAGAGTTAGTTACTGATAGAAGATAATATTTGTAGCTCAGGGTTGAGGTGTGGAGTCCTTGATGCTCTCTGAGCTTGGTTGTTTTCTTGCAATCTCCTCCCCCCCAAAAAAAAGAATACCCCCCACAACCACTAGTCCTACAATTCCCTGGTGTTTCCTGTTCAAATATTTAACAGACCCAACCTGTTTAGTTTATAAGGTCCTTAAGGTATGATGTGTGTGTGTGTGTGTAATCAACACAAGTTTAAATGTATTTTCATTTCTTTAGGAGATGTTTTCTGCACTGTGGCTTACTTCTTGGATTTATCTCATTCATTTTGTTTTCAGCTGTTGTAAGTATACTGTATTTCTTTCTGTCTTATATCACAGTGAGTGTCACATAACAGTAGTTGGGTTTTTCCCTACAGTTAACCAGTCTCCTATATGGCTGTTTATTTTCATTTCACATGCACACCCACCCTTCATGTCTCATGTCTTCATGTCTCATGAAGTGTGGTTATTCTGGCAATATAACAACAGAGATGTACAGTTGAAAACCAATGCATATGAGAGGAAATTTAAAGCTCATTTTGTCTCATTTTGAGTTTCTTCTGTATTTAAAATAAGATGCAGGTTTCCTTTTCCTGGAATAATCCTCACAATTCTGAAATATAAGGTGAATTCTTTATTTAAACAAAAGTAGGAAAGAGTAAGAGGATGATCTTATAGTAATTAATTGTTAAAAGACATTTCTTCTTTAAATACTTTGGATACATGTTTCACATTTGAATATGTACTATACTTTTGCCCTTGCTGGTATAGTGACCCATTTTTCATGCATGTATTTAATTTATATCCATATTTTTCTGATAATCGCCATTTAAAGGGGCATTAAAATAATAAATTAAAAACAAAAACATTTGAATCAGACAGATAACATAATGTGTATTATACCTAATTAAACATATTTTGCCTGTGGATAAGATAACAATAATTATAGAGTTGTAGGGGAACTTGAAGGTCTTCTACTCCAACCCCCTGCTCAGGCAGGAAACCTTATACCATTTCAGATAAATGGTTGTCCAGTCTCTTCTTAAAAACTTCCAGTGTTGGAGCATTCACAACTTCTGGAAGCAAGTTGTTCCACTGGTTAATTGTTCTAACTGTCAGGAAATTTCTCCTTAGTTCTAGGTTGCTTCTCTCCTTGATTAGTTTCCATCCATTGCTTCTTGTCCTGCCTTCAAGTGCTCTGGAGAATAGCCTGACTCCCTCATCTTTGTGGCAACCCCTGAGATATTGGAACACTGATATGTCACCACTAGTCCTTCTCTTCATTAAACTAGAAATACCCAATTCCAGCAACTATTTATTAATATGTTTTAGCCTCCAGTCCTCTGATCATCTTTGTTGCTCTTCTTTCTAGAATCTCAACATCTTTTTTACATCATGGTGACCAAAACTGGATGCAGTATTCCAAGTGTGGCCTTACCAAGGCATTACAGAGTGATAGTAACACTTCAGATGATCTTGATTCTATCCCTGTTAATGCAGCCTAGGATTGTATTGGCTATTTTGGCAGCTGTAGCACACTGCTGGCTCATATTTAAGTGATTGTCCACTAGGACTCCAAGATCCCTCTCACGGTTGCTACTATTGAGCAAGGTAGTAGGCGTGAGCTTAAATGGACTCCAGAAGATGGCAGAGGACAGGAAGGCCTGGAGGAACGTTGTCCATGGGGTAACGATGGGTCGGACATAATCATCTATACTGAACCTGTGCATTTGGTTTTTCTTGCCTAAATGTAGAACCTTACTTTTTTCATCAATGAATTTCATTTTGTTAGATAGCGCCCAATGTTCACGTCTGTCAAGATCCTTCTTTATCTTAAGCCTATCTTCTGGAGTGTTGGCTATTCCTGCCAGAATCTGCAAAGAAGTCAGGAAAGCAAAGGGTCAGAATGAACAAAGACTTTCAACAAAAGTCAAAGATAATTAAAAAAAAGTTTCTTTCAACATATAAATAAGTAAAAAATCAAGGAAACAGTCGGTCCATTAAAGAGAGAAGATGCAAGGAAGTAACAGGCAGCAGAGAGAAAGCAGAGCTGCTTGACTTATTCTTTGCATTGGTCTTCACACAAAAAGGAATTATAGCTCAATCTACCAAAAATATAACTGAAAAAGACAAACTAGAAATAAAAATTAAAATAAACAAAAACACCTGTCTGATCTTGATGAACATAAATCACCCGGGCCTGATGGATTATGTCCCAGAGTTCTGAAGGAGCTGGTAGATGTCATCTCAGAACCACTGTACCATATTTTTCAAAAATCCTGGAACACCAGGCAACTGCCAGAGGATTGGAAAAGAGCTGATGTGGTTCCCATCTTCAAAAAAAGAAAAAAAATAGACCCAGGAAACTACAGACCAATCAGCCTAACATCAATACCTGGGAAGATTCTGGAAAAGATAATAAAAAAACAGATCTGCAAACATCTAGAAACAAAGTTATAACTAGAAGCCAGCAGGGGTTTGTTAAAAACATATCATGCCAAACCAATCTTATTTCATTTTTTGACCAAGTAACTAAATTAGTAGACCAGCGAAATGCTGTGGACATAGTATATTTAGACGTCAGCAAGGCATTTGACAAAGTAGACCACAACCTACTTCCTGGAAAGCTAAAAAAAAGTGGGATAGACAGTATCACCATTAGATGGATTTTTAACTGGTTAACATAGCGTATTCAATGAGTAGTCCTTAATGGTACTAATTCTACACAGAGGAAAGTAAGCAGTGGGATACCACAAGGTTCTGTCCTAGGCCCAGTACTCTTCAACATCTTCATAAACGACTTAGATGAGTGAATAGAAGGGGAACTTATCAAATTTGCAGATGATACAAAGATGCCAGGAATAACCAACAGCCTAGATGATAGGCTCAAGATCCAGATGAATCTTGACAGACTTGAACACTGGGGCCTATATAACAAAATGAAATTTAATGTGGAGAAAAGTAAAGTCTTACGCTTAGGCAAGAAAAACCAAAAGTATACATATAGATTGGGTGAAACCAGGCTTAATAGCAGTAACTGTGAGAGGGATCTTGGAGTATTAGTGGACAATCAATTAAATATAAGTCAACAGTGTGTGGTGGCAGCCAAAAAATCGAATGGAATCCTAAGTTGCATTAACAGGAGGATTCAATCAAGATCACATGAGGTACTAATACCACTCTATAAAGCCTTAGTAAGACCACACCTAGAATACTGCAACCAATTTTGGTCTCCACATTATAAAAAAGATATTGAGACTCTAGAAAAAGTGCAGAGAAGAGCACTTGATTAGGGGACTGGAGGCTACAACATATGAACAACAGTTACAGAAACTGGCCATGGCTAGTCTGGTGAAGAGACGAACCAGGGGAGACATGAGCAGTGTTCCAGTATCTGAGGGGCTGTCACAGAGAGGAGGGGGTCAGCCTATTTTCCAAAGCACCTGAAGGCCAGACAAGGAATAACGGGTGGAAACTGATCAACCTAGAAATTAGGAGAAATTTTCTGACAGTGAGAACAATCAACTAATGGAATAGTTTGCCTTCAGATGTTGTGGAAGCTTCACTGAAAGCTTTCAAGAAGAGACTGGACTGCCATCTGTCAGAAATGGTGTAGGGTCTCCTGCTTGAGCGGGCGGTTGAACTAGATGACCTACAAGGTCTCTTCCAACTCTGTTATTTGATTCTGATTCCTGAGTTGTTTTCCCCTTGAGGATTCTCATCCATGGAATGCTTCCCAAGCTCTCTCTAAGTTTATTGAAATTAGCTCTCTTAAAGTCTAAGACTCTAGTTTGATTATGTTTTATTGCTTGTGCTTGCATAATGTTGAATTCCAATATTGCATGATCACTCCCCCCAAGGTCCCTATAGCTTCAACACCTTCTATCATTTCATCTCTGTTAGTGAGAATTAAGTCTAATATGGCTGATCCCCTATTTCCCTTCTCTACTTTTTGGGAGACAAAGTTGTCTGCTAGGTTTGTCAGGAATCTGTTTGATCTTCCACTTGGTGCAGAGTTTATCTCCCAGTTGATGTCAGGTTAATTAAAGTCCGCCATTACTATTGTGATGTGCTTCCTACATACCTTAGTTAACTGACTAGCAAAAACTTCAACTGTTTCCTCTGTTTGGTTGGGTGGCCTATAGTATACATCTATGGCAATATCATTTTCCCCCTTTTATATTGACCCAAATACATTCAATCCAGTTTTCATCATTGTTGTGTTCTATTTCTGTAGATATGTAGTTGTTTCTTTTATATAATGCAACTCCACGTCCTCTTTTATTTGGTCTGTTTCTTTTAAATAATTTAAATCCCTCTAGCTGTATTTTCTATTTGTGAGTTTTATTCCACCAAGTTTCTGTAATGGTAACAATATCATATCTGCCCTCATTTACCTGAATTTCTAATTCACTCTGTTTATTGCTCATACTCTGTGCATTGGTGTTTACTTTCTACATAACATGTGTGGTGTCTGAGTTTCCCTACTTCCTTACCATCTGTTTCATTAGTGCACCTGTTTCATTAGTGCACTCACTATTAAAAGCTTGATTTTGCTTGACAGCAAGGTTGATAATCTTATCTGCACACACATCTATGTTACAAGCACTGATAACTCTATTAGTTTTAGATTGCCGGTGACAGGAATGTTCTATATATAATAATAATAATAATAATAATACTAGTCCAACCTCTGCTCAGGCAGGAAACCCTCTACCAGAGGTCCCCAATCTTTTGGGCACCAGGGACTGGTTCCATGGAGAGAGGCTTTTCCGTGGACTAGAGGGTGCATGCTTTTGTGTGCTGCCTGCATCCCGCAAATGGGGCTTTGCTTGTTTGTGCAGACCGGTTGCTGGCATGCCGCAGCCCGGTACTGGTCCACGGACCGGGGTTGGCGATCCTTACCCTATACCATTTCAGACAAATGGCTGTCCAGTCTCTTCTTAAAAACTTCTAGTGTTAGAGCATTCACAACTTCTGATTAATTTCTCCTTAGTTCTAGGTTGCTTCTCTCTTTGATTAGTTTCCATCCGTTGGAACTCATCGTCCCTGTTAACTCACTGTCCCTATTGTTCAGTTTAAATATTTCTCCAGAAAATCTGTGAATTTAATGCCAAGTAACTCAGTCCCTTTCTTTGATGTATGCAAACCATCTCTTTTGTACAGTTTTTCATTGGACCAACTGCAGACATCGTGACTAATACTGTATAACCAAAGCCTTCCCTTTTACACCAATCCTTTAGCCAAATATTGAATTCTGCTATATGCTGGCTTTTTCCATTTTGTTCCTTACACACTGGTAAAACCTCTGAGAAAGTAAGCCTGCAGCCTATCCTGCTAAGTTCCTGACCCAATTCTCTGGAAATCATTCTGCATAGAGAGTACATCTTTTGGGGACAGATCATTTGTGCCAAGATGTACAATAGAAGGGAAAGGCTAGTTTTATCTTCATCTTTTCCCTTCTTTGGTAGGGAATTCTGACTGACAAAATCAGATATGCTGATGATTGTCTAAAGGTGATGGGGCTGAAAGAATGGCTTGTTCTTAAATTTCCATTGTTATACCATGATAACATAGATTTTGAAATGATCATTAGCCTGTAGAATTAAGGAGTTGTTGGGGATCTTAGAAGTCATCCAATCACTGTAGGATTCACTAGTGTACAGGTGTCAAACTCGCCACGTCACGTGACGTTGTGATATATCACGATATTTTTTTGCATTGCCAGAGCTGGGGTGGGCACAGCCTCCATATGATGCAACCAGCCCATGGGTCGGCAGTTTGACACCCCTACACTAGTATGTCTCTCTGCTTCTCCAATGAAGAAGAACTTACCATTTTAATTATCGCCATCTTTTCTCTAAACTATATATAATCAGTTCCCATTCTATGTTTTCTGCCAATTACATGATCTGTTCTTCCACTTGCTTCATACTAGAAAATTAGGGACCTTTTTTTGGCTTTGTTCATTATGTCAGTTCTTCCAACCATTTTTCCTATTTCAGAAGCCAACAATGTTTTACCGGGTTCCCATGCTGTGATTAAAGGAAAACCCCAAGTGTTATCAAGGAAACATTTCAAAAAATTGGACTAAAGTTAATCAACATTTTCCCCTCCACAGTCCTGTATCCCAGTAAATCTAAATGTCACCAAGTGGTGATTTGTTGCAGCTGAAATATAAATTGTGCCTCCCCATTCAGATTGACACAATCTCTTCACTTTGACCTCTGGTCAATGAATGAGGGCAGAGAGTAATTTGAACTGATTCAAGGTTGCTGTGCCAACAAAGTAGCCAGTATGGGTTTGCAAAGGGGAATTTCAGTATCATTTAAGAAACCTTCCTGATTATTCATAAATTGAGTTTATTGGGCAGAGGGACAGGTGAAACATTAGACAAAGCCCGTAGGGTGCCCTGATGTTTATTGTCCCTATTGGAAGGCTGTCAGATAGGCTGTCTACTCTAAAGCAGAGGTCCCCAACCTTTTGGGCACCAGGGACTGGTTCCATGGAGAGAGGTTTTTCCGCAGACCAGAAGGTGCGTGGTTTTGTGTGCTGCCTGCATCTCGCGGATGGGGCTTTGCTTGTTTGTGCGGCCTGGTTGCTGGCATGCCGTGGCCCGGTACTGGTCCACGGACTGGGGGTTGGGGACCCCTGCTCTAGAGAATAAGATCATCACAGGCCACTCCTAATTTCTTTCCACTGCCTAAATAATCTTTTTCCTGCTGCTTCATGGAAAATGAAAGTAGGAAAAAGGTTATATATAGTCTTCCTTGTAATCAAATACAGTGATTCAAATCCACAGGCTTATCTGAAATCAAGTCCTACATAGTTGCTTTCTCATTCTCACCCAGCACAGAGAATCATTGTCCCAGGACAATTGTTATCTAGATTTCTCAAATTTTGTTGGTCTTCTATAAATGCCATACTGTAGTCATATTCTCTTCAAATCTTCCACTGCATCCTCAATTTCAATAATCCCTTTTCATTAAGGGGATTTTTTTATGCTTTGAATACAGCTGTTTTAAAAACCTAGAACATTTCCCTACTGACTCAGTTTGGTACATGATAAATATGATTGTCCATATTTGGGCTTTTCTTTATTATTAATATGATTTTATGCATTATTCTGCAATATATTTTTATGGCATTATTATAAATTATTTCTCATCCTAATATGTATTATATACTGTATCACAATTCCAGTGCTAACTAATCTTTGCAGAACTCTTCTACTTTATGCTTATGCTTATGAGGAGATAATCTCAATGTTCTGAGTTTGAACAGGATGTTTGCTTTACATTTTAGTATTAAGTTAGACAAATGAATAATATGAACTAAATAAGGCTAAATATTCATATCATACATTCTAGAAATATTTGAAATTATGAAATTATGTGAGAAACAGTAGAAGAGAATGTTGCATAGCAATTCAGTGATTGTTCTTTAAAAAGTGTTACTTGTATAATTGTGTAGCTTAATTTTGGTAAACAAAATATTCCCTTTATAGTAATGAATAACTCAAATCTGCTTGAACATTCGAGAAATATTTGCCATAATTGTAGATCTGCTTACACATTTCAAATAGATAATCTACCCAGATAGCAATTATACTATTGTAATCACTATTATACAAATACTAATGTATATTTATAGTTGTACAAATAGTAATGTATATTTATTTATTTGTTAGGTGAGAACCTTATTAGTTCTTTCCCTAAAGAAGAGCCAGGAACTGTCTCTTGTCTACAAGGTAGCCAATCTAACCATGTTGTGACTTGGTATAGAAATGATATTGAGACACCCATAAGTACAGATAACTGCTCCCGGGTTTATCAGCAAGCAAACTTGCTTTGGTTTTATCCTGCAAAACTAGAAGATTCTGGAATGTATCAGTGCATTTAGTAAGTCGCTTTATTTATTCATTTATTTATTCATTGTATTTACAGGTAGTGCGCAATTTACAATAGTTCATTTAGTGACCATTCAAAGTTACAATGGCACAGAAAAATATTGACTTAGGACTATTTTTCACAGTTATGACTGTTGCAGCATCCCCATGATCATGTGATCAAAATTCGGTTGCTTGGCAACTGGCATGTATATATGACGCTCAATGTCCCTGGATCATGTTACATTTTGTGACCTTCTGAGAAGCAAAGTCAGTGGGGAAGCCAGATTCACTAACCGTTTTACTAATTTAACAACTGTGATTCATTTAACAAGAAAGGTCATAAAATGGGGATGGACATGTTGGGCTCAGTTGTGGTCGTAAGTCAAGGACTACCTATATATCTCACTTTTTCTGTGGGAGATCAAGGATGTACACCATATGAACAATTCTAAAATAGAGATTGAGCCAAGTGAAAAACTATGATTTCCCTTAAAATTTCCCATGAACTCCACTGACAAGGAAAGACATAATTTGATCTCACTCTAACATTATAATTACAGTAGTAATCACATTGCTTCTAGCATTTAGAAAATGGAAAGAATTTATAATGGGATTGAAGACAATTCAGTAATGAGAAGAAAATATAAAGTTAATATTTTTACCATGTTTATTGATGCTAATTTTTAGCTTTAATTGTGTAAAGTTTGAGTTCAAACAATGCTTGGTAGGTCATGCCTCTCTAATAGTTTACATGCTTAAATGAGAGGAATCACTTCTGAATGATTTGAATCTTATTTCTAGCTAAATTTTTAGAATAATAGAAGTTTATTGGTTCTATTTATTATTCATTTGTTTATATATTTTTCCTGATATATATATATATTCCTGAAATTAGAAAATTAAATATAAGAAATTGTATTAGTACAAAAAGTTGTTAATCTCTGCTCTAATGTATCTTGGCCCAAGATCTGCTCATATTTTTAGAAGTGTATTCAACTCTTAATTGATTTTATTGTTTTTTTTTCCCTAAATATTAAATGATAACTTGATGCCAATCACTCTCTTTGTGGATGTATATATTTTATAACGATAACTGAAGTACTGATACCATTTTTATTACAGTAATTCCACAAGCGTTAACAAAACTCTAATAGTGTTTGAGAACAGTGTTGGATTGTGTTTTAATAAAGGAATGGTTTTTGAACAGAAAGTTCTACTAAAATACAATGGGAAGCTGACTTGTCCAGATCTTCATAATTTCAGAAATTATGACAATGCTCCTCTTACTTTACAATGGTATAAGGTAAGTCCTTTTCCACAAGACAGAAGCAAAATAGCAATTAAGCAGTTTACCTTTTCCATTTTGCAATCACTATCCTGCCATGTTCTACAACTTTTGAATCAGCTGTTTACTTGAATTTCCTCTTACCCCATGCATAACCAAATAACCTTTTTTTGTTAACTATGGTGTTCACTGCAGCCTCAGGACATTCTGAGTTTTAGCTTTCCAGACTCATTCTTACATACACTGATTATTCTATGATTTTTTTTCTTTTATTATAAGTGTCTCATGTTTTTCTAAAGACTTGACCCTTTTGCTTCTTACTTCATTGGATAGTTCTTTTTCATATATATATACCAATGGGAATAAAATACAAAACAGAAAAAAAACAAAAAACATACAACAGTAACAACAACAAGAAATGTGTACTAAAAACCCAACATTAAAGATAAACATCTAACATTAAACATAAAAAAGATCTATCCTAGCTGGATGCTGACAATAAAAATAAAAAAAAACTTGATAAATTATCCTATCCTTACATAATGGCTCTGTAAAAAGCTATAAACGTTCTCATCCTTATTTAACAAAAATATATATAAACAAATATTTCAGATGAGGTTTCTATCTAATAGTTCATTGTATGCACTGGGTGCCTCTCCTTTTTCTTCTCTGATATTGTGTATTGCAGAATTTTTCAACTCAGATTTTTTACAATTTTTACAATTCAGGATTTCTATCTATGGAATCTTTCCAATGCTTTCCCTCTACCTATGGGAGTAAGTCCTTTTAATTCATAACACTAATATGAGTGCCTTCATTTTGCTCTGCCTATGGTATGATAACATGATAGGTAAATTCCAAGTTGACATGGACATTGTCTCAGAAGGTTCCTGCAACTTCCACATCCAAAATATTTTTTTCACCATGAGTAAGTATTAAGTCCACTGTAGCTGATTATCTAATTTCCTCCTCCACCTTTTATATGATCAAGTTGTCTGCAAGTCATGTCAAGAATCTGTTGGCCCTCTTTTTATCATACTGACACTTCATCTTTGATGTATTTTTCAGGCAATATTGTATTGATTGTATTTCCAAACTTTGTTTCTGTTATAAAATAATAATCTTTAACATTATTTAGAAGCCAGATTGCTTGGCTTCAATTAACAGTTTTTAAGAGGAGTTCCAACATGAACCTCAAATATGCTTTCAAATCTTTGCAATGCTGATATAAAGGCACTGACTTCTTTTTCTTCTTTGGCCAAACATGTTTCATGTTCTTTAGTTTTCATTTCTTTCCCAGTATCCTTCTTATTCTCCCATATGTTATCCATCTTTCCATATTTGGTGTCTTCAAGTAAGTAATAGAAGGAGGAAGGTGTGCTGGATATGTTCACCAACTTGAATTATTTATAAAAATAAAGGTGGGATATAAATAAATAAATTTAAATCTGTTTTATTGTGGGGTTCTTGGTGGTCTCTGAACAATTACACAAATAGGTAACATCATCAGTGATTTACTTTTAATGTTTTAGCTGCTGTTATTCCTTTGGAATATTTATTGGGTTGTTATTGCCTTTTGGAACAAATATTGTATCCATTCAACTTCATTTTTAGCTATGAGTTATTTTGGTTAACATCATCTAATTGCTTACCTTTCTCAGCTATCGTCTCTCTAGTCTTCAAATTAATAGATATATACCAAAAGCTAGGCTTAACTATTCTCCATCTGCAATCACACTCTAAGAACAGGCTGGTATGAATTGTAAATATAAATAATTTCCAACTTTATCTCAAATATTCTACTGTTACATTCCTTTATATCCATCATAATAGAATATAGAACATAGAATCATAAGGCTGAAAAGGACCTCAGATATCTTCTAATCCAGCCCCTGGTTCAAGGCAGGAGCTTTATACCACCCCAGTCAAATGGCTATCCAGTCTACAGTATTTTTGAAAACCTACTATGATGAAACCCCCACAGCTCTGGGAGGCAAGCTGCTCCATTGATTAATTGTTCTCACCATCAGAAAATTTCTCCTTACTTCTAAATCTTTATTGTTCCCTACAATTACTTTTTTCCAGCTGATATTGTTACATGAAATATTTATAAAATAATTACTGCCCTTAGTACACAGCATATGGCACTGGCATCTGTATTACACTGCCATTATAATTAAGGTAATATTTGAGGTGTAGCATGTGATTATGATTATTTTATCATTTTAATGCTTACTGATTTTTAGCCATCCAGAGTCACCTCTAGACGAGATGGGTGGCACACAAATCAAATCAAATCAATCAATAAATGTGATATCTTGAGAAATGTCAAGAATCTTTCGGTTCATAATTTACATTTATGATTTTTTTTTACTTGCATCTCACTAGTCTTGTAGAAAAATTGTCTTTAGCTTGCGGATCTGGAATGGACTGATTTAATTTTTCTTTTTTGGTTATACAGTATGTGTTTGATAAAAGAGTTTAGTTTCGTATTAACTATTCTTATAATATTTGCTTATTTGTTTTAGGAATGCCATTTGCATTTATATGAAGACTGGAAATTTAAGAGTTCTGGAGACTATCTTCTCATTAAAAATGTAACTAAGGAAGATGAAGGAATTTATATATGCAGGGCTAAACATATATATATGGGAAAAGAATATAATATTTCACGGGCTATTAATCTAACTACTTTTGGTATGTAATTTTCATCTTGGTATATCGCAGAATAGAATTTATTTTATAAAATAAATTGATTTTTTTTTTAATCTGTGGAGTCTGCAACCTAAATTTGTAATATAGCCTTGTTACATTATTCCCGCTATCTGAGATACTATATACTACATATTTGGTTGAGATTCTTCTCAGCATATTATATTGCCAATATTTTAGCAGAAAAAAATTGTCAGTACTACCAGTTATCATGTAAATCAGAGCTCCCCAATCTTTCCTGGTTGGCGGCCCGGAGGGAAAGTGTCGAGCATGGAAATGTGCACGCGCACGATGGTGGCGGACCACTAGTGCCTGCAAATGGGCTGCTAGTGCCCACACGTGTGCACAAATGGGCCGCTAGCACCCATGTGATGCTGGCAGTGGTGCTAGCACTCCTGCGCATGCGTAAACGGGGCCGCTAGCATGAGTGTGGGGGGTGCGCACATTCCCCAGCCATTCCTGCAGTCCAATGGCCAACAGGTTGCAGCCCCCTGATGTAAATGTTTAGATTTACATTAAAAGAATCTAAGTATGTTCAGAACAAATTACATGTTTTCATTTTCATCCTATCATTGCTTTCCAATTATATAACTATGAGGTATTGGCACAACATTTTAGTAACTAAAAGCTCTAACTGTGGTAATAAAATTCATTCCTAAAAATTAAAGTAGCATTGCAATAGATTTTATAGTTACTTATTTTCAGTATTTTTATTGTTTTAGAAATAGCAAAGAAAAATATTCCAGATATAATTTACCCAAATAACAACTCAATTGAAGTAAAACCAGGTAAGTAATTACTTCATTTGAAAAAGACACTGTTTTTAACAGTCCTAGGCAAACTGTAAAATGTTATGATTATTCACCCACTATCATTGCAGGTTCCAGATTTGACCTGGTTTGTAATGTCTCAGCTGATCCTCTGGATTATATGGTAATTGTAACCTGGAAATTCAATAATGAGATATTAAACACAGATGAAAACGATAAGTAAGTACAATATGTCATTTTCTAGGGGGTTTCAAATTATTACATTTTCATTCCATGCTGTGGGTTAGATATCTATATAAATATGAAGCAAGCCTCATTTAAATAAATTCATTTAGCTGCAATAGCTTGTTGATTTAGTAATAGTGCACCAATGTACAACACTAATAGGAATTCCCAAAATGTACTTCTTAGTGCTTTGCAGACATTTTATAGTAAAATGGAGCTACCTATCTTGGGGATCTGAGTATTTATTCCAGTAGCTAACTGGAATTGTATTTTTAAACTGTGCATCTGGTATGTTTTCTTTCAATTGAAATCTGCATATGTTCTGTGAATTTCCAGTATTTTTGACCCCACCCAGTCATTCAGTACAAAAGTACTTCTTGTGAGATGGGTACCCATATACATTTGATAAATAAAATAAAATATAAATAAAGGCACATAAACTAGATCAGGGGTCTGCAACTTTAAACACTCAAAGAGCCACTTGGACCCATTTCCCAGAGAAAAAACACTGGGAGCCGCAAAACTTGTGCGTGTGCGCGCACACACACACAAGGGGTGGGGACCTTGATTGAAGAGTTTAATTAAAAAGAAATAGAGGCTGCTGTGCATGAGTTCTCTCTCTCTCTCTCTCTCTCTCTCTCTCTCTCTCTCTCTCTCTCTCTCTCTCTCTCTCTCTTTCTTTCTTCTCTCTCTCTCTTTCTCTCTTTCTCTTTCCTCTCCCCTCTCTCTCTCTTTAGTCTCCCTCTCTCTCTTTCTCTCTTTCCTCTCCCTCTCTCTCTTTCTTCTCCCTCTCTCTCTTTCTCTCTTTCCTCTCTCCTTCCTCTCCCTCTCTCTCTCTTTCTCTCTTTCCCCTCTCTCTCTTTCCTCTCCCTCCCTCCCTCTCTCACTTTCTCTCTTTCCTCTCCCTCTCTCTCACTTTCTCTCTTTCCTCTCCCTCTCTCTTTTTCTCTCTCTTTCCTCCCCCCTCCCTCTCTCTCTCCCTCCCTCTCTCTTTCTCCCCCTCTCTTTTTCTCTCCCTCTCTTTCTCCCTCTCCCTCTCTCTTTCTCTCCCTCCCTCCCTCTCTTTCTCTCTCTTTCCTCTCCTCTCTCTTTTCTCTCTCTCTCCCTCTCTTTTTCTCTCTCTCTCCCTTTCTCTCCCTCTCTCTCTTTCTCTCTCTCTCTCCCTCTCGCTTTCTCTCTCTCTTTCTCTCTTCCCCTCTCTCTCTCCCCCCCTCTCTCTCTGATCTTCTGCTCACCTGGCAAGCTGGCTTCAGGCTCTTCTCCAACAAGCTGACACACATTATTGGACTGGCTCTCTCCTGTCCTTCCTGATTCCTGCAGAGACACAGCAAAGGGAGGAGCCCCACCCAATACGCTTGTCAGCTCGTTGGAACAGCATGAGGCCACTCTCTTTTTTACACACACACACACACACACACACACACACACACACACACACACACACACACAGGTGGGGGGAAGCAGGGAAGCGCAAGTGCCTCTCTCTCTCTCTCTCTCTCTTTGCAAATGGCAGAGGAGGCTGGGAGCCGCAGAAGAAGGCTCAAAGAGCCACAGGTGGCTCCGGGGCGCAGGTTGCCGACCTGTGAACTAGATCCTAAGAAAATCAGGGTCCTTCAGTCATTAGAATTGGGCAAGATAGAAAAATTAAAAGCAACAGCAATGATGTGGCTAAAAAAGAAGAATATATTATTATGATCACATTCTTAACTGTACCAGGCCTGATTCAGCTTATAAATGTTTTATAAGTATTAATAGTAATAATAATAAAATAACAATTATTAATTTTTTATATTGCCTGACTCCCAGTGACATATAGAAGTTTTATGTCCACAGTGCCAACTTAAGAGAGAATAAAGAGATAAATTTTAGATAAGTGAAGTTATTTAGTTTTAGACAATAGGTGCACTGTTGCACAAGAATAGATAGAATTATACAGATATATTTAATGAAAAATATTTCATTTTTCTTATATTACATCATCCGGATATTGTTATGCTACAGTAAATCTTGGTAACTAGGTGCTGTATGTGAGGGAAACAGAAGCTGAGGCTTTGCTTTAATACTGAGCAAATGACAAGATCTAAATTTCTATTTTGAATACATTTAACTTAAATGTATTTAAATTAAGAAGCTGAGCATGACCCAATTTCATATAAATCAAAATAATTTTCCTTAATTTTTTTCTTCTTTTCTTTTTCTGTTTATATTTTGGTATTGTTAGGGTTCTTTCTGGAAAACGAATAATAGAAGTAAAGTTAAACATTTCCAAAGTGAAATACAGAGATTATGGAAAATATTTATGTGAAGTATGGTCTAAACATGTGACACAAGTAGCATATGTAATGCTAAACTATCCAGGTAACTTTATGTATAAGTCTATAGTTCTGTATATTTTTTATCTACCTAAAAGTATGTTTGCATAATGGAAAGAAAAGATGATTTGCTTGGTTATAAAGACAAACAAACATCTATGAGAATTTTTATGTACTCTGTTATAAACACATTTCTTTTCTTTTTGATGAGGCTGAGATTCCGAAGTTTCACATAATATTAGATCGTACTCTGGGATGGTCGCAGTAAACTTGTACTTATTCTAATCTAGAAACAGCCATTGAACCCAAATGGTAAGGGAGGGGGGTGTTTGCAAATGATAGCCACATAACCAGTTAAAATAATGCATCATATTTTATTACATTATGGATACTGAATTGTGTATAAATAAAAAAAAACATTGTTTACGGAGGTATTTTCATCTTGTAAAGCTCTGCTTAATTCCATAGCCTAATGGGGAAAAATGTCACTATCTCAAAAAAAAAAGGAAGCAAGTGTTGACACTTGTTTTATCTAGAAATACTTGGGGTTCACTAGGAAGGCCAGGTAAGTCAGAGTTGGATAACGTTGCTAGAGGTTATTGCTAGTGCTTTCCACAAGTAATATTCAGTTGGCTTCTCTTCTGTAAGAAGATAATGCCCATGAAAACATCCAGAGGAAAGATTAAATTGAGAAGATGGCTGCATATGCCTTTTTGAACCAATGTTCCACCCAAGGTCAGATCAATATCAACCTAGAAAGCTTTTTGGAGTTTGATGGCATCAGGGGTTTCCTTCCTATAGAAAGCAATTGATACAACTGCTAATGGACTGAAAAGTTTATTTTGCTATTGACTTTGTAGTATTATTATGCTTTGTTATTTTATTTTTGTATCATATATAAATATTTTTGAGACTGAATGACCTATCATTTACAAGAATAAATAAACTTTAAAAGCTATGATGAAAAGTAATGCCAAGCATCATCAACTTAATCATCTTCTATTTGGAAATAAAAGGTGTTACTTGGATAATCTTCAGACATCAGAAGCCTCTTTTCAAAATAATAAAATATTTTATGAGAATTTGCTTAGAAAAATTAAAGTAAAGTAGAAATTGTATAAATTGCTCATCTTATAAACATCTTATGGGACTTACTGTGGTAAGAATGTTCCCTGTTGTTTTCCTTTCCTTTCCTTTCTTTCTTTTTTCTTTGCCAATACAGCTCCAAACACTCAGTATTATGTGATCGGAGGATTGATTTCAGCATTGTTTATTATAGCAGCATCACTGCTTACTTACAAATTTTTCAAAGTTGACATTGTCCTTTGGTACCGGGATTCTTGCCAACATCTCAGGAAAGGAAGTAAGTTCAGCTTCAGTCATTTGATGCCCTGTGATAAAGAATAAAGGTTTTGATGCTTTCTAAACAGTTTGCAACTTTTCTTTGACTTTTTGTCCTACCATTTCTGCTCCAAGTTATTATTATTATTATTATTCAAATTTATACCCCGCCCTTCTCCTAGCGGACTCAGGGCGGCTTACAGCCAGTTTAAAACAGAATAACTAATACAATAATACTAAATTTAAAAAGTAGTTAAAATGAAATATTTAATTGTTGGCCTTTTCTTTTTTAAAATTATTTTAAAACCAAATTAAAATACCCCTTAGGCCAGTGACTAGTTTACAATTTTTTGTTAATACAAAGAACATACTTTTGTAACTTTAATGTTTGTATTGCATTGATGAATTAAGAATTAAGTGCTCCAATATTGGATTGTTGATTATAAATCTTGTGGAATTTAATCTCTTGAGTGTCTGTGGAGATTCTAAATCATCCAGATCATGGTTGTCCCAAAATTACTTTTCCAAAAGGCACTTGGACTTTCTTGGGTTTTTTCCTTGATACATTTCTCATCCAAGTCATTGAGGCCACTTGGGGATTCATCTATATCCTCGGAATCACCTGAGTCAAAGTGCAAATGGGTGTGGAATCTTCTTGGCACTGCTGAAAGAACTGTGTTATAAATAGGAGATAGGTGGTGTTATATCCCTCCCCCTCTGTTGGGAGGTCTGTTTTAACATAGATGGTCTCTTTGACTCCTCTTTCAAATCAGTTCTCTGTCCAGAAGCTGAACTTTAAAGTTCACATTCTGGACACATTCTGATGCTTTGAAGTTTACATTCTGGACACATTCTGGAACCTTAAACTTGCAGAAGAAAAACACCAAAAAAAGTCCAGTTGCCTTTTGGAAAAGCACCTTTGGATTAAGCTCTGCCATACTTCTGGGAATAGTTAGTCAGACAGCAGAGGGCAACATTGCTATTTCGACTCATTTTATGAGTTACAGACAAATACTATAGTTCCTAAGAGGGAGAGAAGCCTTTTTGTCTTATATAAAAAGCCTGTGTTTTTGAATAAATGATAAATTTGTGAACAGAGAGCCTACTTCTGTTATGTATTCAAGATGGGGTGTGTCAACACTGCAACGACCTGAACTGAAGCCATTTTCATTTCGTTTTTGGTGGCCACATATTTAGAAAGAAGGAGGGAGGGGGTGTAGTTCTGTGTTAGCCAAAACAATTTCATGTATGGGAACCAAGATCATTATTGATAGCATCTTGGCGGGCTGGAGAGCTGGGAGGAGTGCCCCTTTTTCTACTAATTGGTGAATGTGATTTATGACATCTAATTGGGGTGGGAATTGCAACTTGTAACTTTGTAACCAAGGGGAGGGGAATTTAGTCTTGGGTTCACCTTTGAATTGCCATTATTTTGTAGTCAAATAAAAATGTTCTTTGAGGAAGAATTCCTTGCCTTGAAGTTCTTTTAATTGGTCTCATCTACCGGAACCATGACACAATGATTAATATTTACGGTATATGTTATTTATATGTAAGGGTGAAAGTTTATACATGTGTTGTAAATGTGTGTTATGTATGTGTACACTTTTGAGAGCAAGCAACTAAATTTCATTTTTAATGTGTGCCAATGTGCCCACAGTAAAAATGACAATAAAGGTTGTCTGTTTGTCTGTCTGTCTATATATATAATCTCAAAATTATTCTTCCAAATATTGGAGAGAAAAAAAAAGGGAGCATTTTTTTCAATTGTGGTCATGTGAAAAAGTAATACCCTTTTGGTGTAAAATTTTGGGGAGATTAGTAACGTCACTAAACAAAGGATTGAAATGTTAGCCTTACTGCATTTATTTATAGGAGTCGAACTTAGAAACAAAGAGCTTATCTATTTCATTCATAGTTTAATAAAACAGTGGAAAAAAGAGAAAGAAATCAAGGTGAATGACAGAACTGGAATTCCTTGGTTGTCTTATCTACTGATTTTGTTTACAAGTAGAATTTTTGACCTGTAGTTTTGAATTTTATGTATTTTTTCTCAATTAAAAACAAAACAAAATGAAGAAGACAAGATTTAGACTTTTCCACACTCTAATCTCTTGTCTTGTGTGGTTAGGGAAGGGCAGAAAAATATAAGAAAATAAAACTTCTATAAAATATTGTACTGTGTACTGATATCAATCAACTGATATAGCCTTTGTATATTACCTTGTAAACTCTGCAATACTTGCCCAGGCAGTCATTGGAAGTTAACACTGACTTAAAAGCATAAAATATTGATGATTTACTTACTTACTTATTGCAGATATTTCTGTGCTCCAAAATGGCACTAAGTGACATTAGTATTATGTCAGGAATGAAAGGAATGGAGAAAATTATTTGAATAGTTATACTTTGTTTAAGCTGTAATCTGAAAAATGCGATACTGTATTGGATTTTCATTAGTGTCTTGGCTTTCCTGTAAAGAATTTTAGCTATAACATACATACAGCATTCTTACCTATTAGCTTTCTAACAACCCAGTAGACTAAGCCAAGATAGTGTTAATACTAGATTATTCAGGAAGCTTTAGTAAGTTTCAAGTTTTGAAGTGCTGCTGGCCTGATGTTTTAATTCTGCTGTTTCAATTGCCAGGCTTAACCCATTCCAACCAGCCCGAAATTGACTTCCCAAATACCTGTAATCATTGATCTAATATTAATCTCCACAAGTTAGATGTTAAATCATAAAAATGTCAAAGAATGTTTGATTAATAAGCTTACATTATGGCATGTTTTTTTTTACCATAACCTTTAACTTGTATGATAATAATATTCATGCTGAGCTCCATCTTTTTAATTAGCAGTATTAAAGTATTGGTTGATCTATGCTGATGTCTTTTTATGTCTTTTAGCTGAATGTATTTATTGCCTTAGCTAGTAATTCAGGTACATGAAATGTAAATTTCTATAATAAATTATCCCTACAAATGTCTTGGTTAGAGTTGGTTTTTCTCTTTCCTTCTAGTTTCAGATGAAAAAGTCTATGATGCATATGTGTTATATCCTCACAATATATCAGGCTATGTATATTTGACTGAAACGTTTGTCTTCAAATTATTACCTGAAATCCTAGAAAAGCAGTGTGGCTATAAGCTTTTTATTCTTGGAAGGGATGATGTGCCAGGGCAAGGTATGTAATTTTAATATCCGTGTTTAGAATTTGTAAATTGTTACTTAAAGGGCAACTCATAAGTAAATGCTTTGAAATGTTGATCTGGTGGCAGAGCTTGTATTTATTATAGCATTTCTGATTGGGGTTTAAAACATGCTGTACTTTGAGAACAAATACAGTTGTGTCCCTTGGGGAATATATGGATAAGAAAGGATTCCAGTTACAATGAGTTAGAACTTCATATACATTCAAGGATTAGGGCATAATTATTGGTGGAAAATGACTTCTGTGGAAATGGATAGATTTCCAAAATTGTATCTGATAAAATAGAATTGACTTTAGTGAGACTACCCAGGGATAGTGCAGTTTACAAACAAAATTAGGAGTTGTAGTCTTCTTGCCATTTATTTAAAAATACCTGGACAATAAGAAGTTAAATTGTTGCACAAAAAATATCTTGTGTTCATGAAAGTGATGGCTTGCCCTCATTGAAGCTAAATTATGAGTTTGCCCTAATTTGCAGGAAAGTTAGCAACTTATGAGCAATGTTTGCCAATCTTGTATTCATCTGCAGTGGTGATTTTCTAGGTTGATTTTCTTTGGACAGAATGACAATTTGCACAGATAATTCTTGTACCATTCTCAAAACTTTAGTTATCTTTGGTTGATTCAATTTGGCTAGACAAACTTCCCATCTTCAATCTGTTGAGAACTTTGCCTAATGCTAGTACAGAAGGCCCAAAATGGAAACGGGAATATTGATTATAAGACCAACATTGCATTATTTAGAATTGTATATACAGTAGTAAAAAAGAAATTAATAAATGATGTGCAGAAGGATAAAAGAATTAAGGGAGGACACTGGTCTGGCTGTGTCCCTTTCTTTTCCACACTATTGCTTAATTGTTTAAACAACATGTCTACCTGGAGAAATGTCTCCTAATGTCTCTGGGTGATTTTGAAAAAGTGTCATTAGAAATGACTAGCCTTTTTTCCTTGGAGACATCTGCCTTGTCTTTGTATTTGGGTTCTTTGTATGTTCTATCTGCTATGATATTTTTGGCCAGACAAGGAAAGTTAGATGTGATACATTACTAGCTAATAATGGGTTACTCATTTGTCTGTGTAACTAGACTAGACAATAGGGGAAATTAAATTTTTCAGAAGAAAGCAATTGCAAACCATTTCCATGTTGTTACCAAGAAAACTTGGGAGAGGTGTCCATGAAGTCATTAGGAATTGAGATGATTCAATTCAATTCAGTTCACTTCTTTAGATTCAAGAAACACTATCCATGTATATAAAATTAAGCAATTTTTCTAATAGGTACTTGATTAAAATGTATGTCTTTCCTGGCCCACATTGATTCAGTTTTTTTTTTATTCATAGCTGTCATTACTATTGTGGATAAAATGGTCAAACTAAGCAGAAGAGTGATCATTATTTTAATGCCAGATCTATATTGTGGTGGCATGTACAGTTTGTTCTCTGAACAGGAACTTGCAGTCTACAGTGCTCTTATCCAGGAGGAAACCAAAGTTATACTGATTCAGCTAGACAAAATAAAAGATTTCAATAGTATGCCAGAATCCCTCAGATATCTTAAACAAAAGCATGGCGTACTCACATGGAGGGGAACTTTTACAGAAACCACTGAAATGGCAACTACAAGGTTTTGGAAGAATGTGAGATACCAGATGCCAGCCAGCCCAAGCCCACTTTCCTCAGACTTGCATTTTTTGCCAATAACTTTTCACTCTTCTCAGATATCAGATGGATGACGTCAAAGCCACACCTGCAGTGTTTACCTGAAATCTATTCCAGTAGATCCTTATGGATACACAAACATGTGCACCTGCTAGAGATTGTTCCAAGTCTGAGATCAACAAAAACACAATTCAGAGCAGTATTTTCTGAAAGACCATTCACTCATAGGCTGTGAGATGCATGGGCAAGTGGCAAAATAATGTGAATGCTTGACAAGGGAGAAGTTGAAATTGTTCTTGCGTACTATTATTTTACATGCAAAATAAGTGAGTATGTAGGGAGCTATTTTTATATGAAAACTTTATATGAAAGAGTTTTAATCTAAACCCCAAGGGTTTGAGCAAAATAGTAAATACTGATCCAGCACTGAAGTTCATTATAGCTATTAGCAAGGATTTAATCCTTGTATCTCAAGCTTTTTAAGAGTGAGTTCTAGTCCTTCCTTTAACTGGTATCCTTCCTAGAATTTCCATTGAAAAACAGCCTGTATGGCTGTGAGTTGATGAGATGGGCATATCCCAAGTGGGGTTTTGAACAACAGTGTCTATACAATACTCCTTTGCTTGTACTGCCTTAGTTAAATGGAAGATTCAGGATAGTTGCCAAAAAATATTCCAGGATGTACTTACTCTCTATATAGAGTTACTGTATATTCCATTCACTACATGTGGAATCTGGCACAATCCATATACTAGGGGAAATTACTATAGTATCTCCCAGGGAGAAAAATAGAAAAGACATATTTAAATAAATTGCCATACCAGCAAGCAAGGGCAAAGCGTGCGTTTTTAAATTTTAGTTTGACTTTTTAAATTAAACACTTTCGTAATTAAATGAACTATTTTGAATTGAGTGATTTGTCAGTAGTTCAGAAACAATTGTTATATTTCAAGTCACTAAATATATGCAATACAATCATTTCACCTTATTTTTAGAAATTGTATTTTGTAGTATGGGAGCCCAGATTTAATAATTTGGCCAAATATATAACTACTTTTTGTATAATTTGGGTACAATTGTACAAATTATTCTGTACTTGTCCGGCCCAGTTTTTGGACACTGCCTGGATAAGTTTCTGCAGTTTTCTTGCAAGGTTTTTGAAGTGGTTTGCCACTGCCTCAGGTTGAGAGAAAGTGACTGGCCAAAGTCACTTTGGCTTTGTGGCTAAGATGGCTAAGATGGGATTAGAACTCACAATCTCCTGATATCTAGCCTGATGCCTTAACAAATATACTACATTGGCTCTCATATTATTTTATGATAAAAGGGGTCAAAACGTGGTTCTGAGGCCTTGTGTCATGGGGTTGATTGGTGCCATGGGAGTTTTGCCTTTGTCAACTAATATATAACAGTTTAATTATTCTTGCCTGCTTAATTTTTTTTATAATTTTTAATTTTAACATTTTAATTTTAACATTTTAATATTTATATACTATTTTATATATTGATATTTTATTGTACATTGCTCAGAGTCTCTCCTTTAGGGAGATAAGTAGTTCAGAAATGTGAAATATAAATATAAACAAATAAATAAATCTTATAACCACAAAATAAAGTTATTCCTATGAAATCTTTGTGACTTTGTTGGATAATGTGCTGCAACACTCACAAGTGACTTGAGAAAGGTACCTGAAGAATAAAATCAACTGAGAAAGATATAAAAAAAATTAAAACCACCATATCAGAGGCTTTTGAAAACCTGAATGAGAAAATACTGTTATATGAAATTTTCATAAATAGTATCTTTATGTACTAAATTATGTACCCATCTGAAAAGATCTACAAGATTTTGGATATAAGAGACCTGTCAGCTGAAACCTTTGTCATTATTAATGCTCATCCCAATACTTTACATAAAAGCTACTTCATGCTTTATGTGGACTTGATTCTAAAAATTCTTTGGTTGTGAAGAATGTGAGGGAGATAGGAGAATTTTTCCTATGTTATTGTTTAAGCTGTGGCGTTCTTAGAAAAGGAATAGAAGTGATCTGGTATAATAATTTTCAATATTTTGTATCTTAACTCTTTCTTCACATGCCTTATCGCACTCTCTAAGCCAGTGGTTCTCAACCTGTGGGTCGCGACCCTTTTGGGGATCGCACGACCCTTTCATAGGGGTCGCCTAAGACCATCGGAAAACATATATTTCCGATGGTCTTAGGAACCGAGACACCACTCCGCATCTGTCTCCGAATGGCCTCCTCCGCCATTTACAGAGAGAGAGAGACAGAGAGGCACTTTCGCTTCCCTTCTCTCTCTCTCTCAGGCGGACTTACCTCCTGCAGGACTCCTGATTGGCCCGGCACCTGGGTGCCCCAGCCCCTTGGAGAAGCGTGGCCAGGGCCTTCAGCTATAGAATTGCGGATTTTCACGATAAAGCCTGCCTTTCACTCTGCAGGAATCACTTCTTGCCTTCAAAACAGAGAAGGGCCAACCAAGCAGGAGCGATGGACGTGATTTCAAACTAATGAGTTGTTTACATGCCTGCTGAGCCCGAACCGCCCCTCCCCCCACAAACACACATACAAACACTCTGGAGCGCCTCTGCCTCACACCCACAACAGAACCAACACACCCGCTGATGCTCGCAGTTGTCAACAACACAGTGGCCTCCGGGCCTTCCGAGGCTCCAGCCTTCCTGCCCCGGGCTTTGGGGGCAGAGTTCGCGGGGAAGCGGACAGCGCAGCGCAGGCCAGCCCCGCCGCTGAGCTCTGGCTGCGGCCCTCCGGAGCGACAGGCTGTGGCCTCCCTCCGCATCGCTGACGAGCGCGGTCCCTTCTCGCCTGACTCTCCCTGCGGCGCTCCCTCCCCCGGCGGCCTCTCAACGGACAGGCTGGCCCGCTGCCGGCTTCGGGAAAAGGTGAGGTTCTGCGAGGCGGAAAACTGCGACTGGCCTGGGAACAGGGCGGGGAGGCGAGGCCGGAGCACGTCGAGTTTGACGCGGGGGCAGCGGCGGGAGGGAGCGCTGAGGGGCGGCCGGGTGGCTCTTCTGAAGGGAGGCGAGGCCGAAGTCTGCAAGTTTGATGCAGGGGCGGCGGCGGGAGGGAGCGCTGAGGGGTGGCCGGGCGGCTCTTCCGAAGGTCCCGGCGGTGCCTCTCGAGCAGCCTGGGAGGACCCTCGGCCAGGCCGGGCAGGAAGGTTGCTGCTTGCTGCTGCTCTCGGCAACTGGACTGAGCCCGCACGGTGGTGAGGCCTGGCGCCCGACTGAAGCTTCCAGCCACAACTCCCACTCTCTCCGCAGCCGCCTGGCCCGAATCTGCTCGGGGCAGAAGAGGTCAGCGTGCGGAACTCCTGTGTGTCCCAAGCCCCCCATTCTCGAGAGAAAGCCGCTGCCTCCTGTCTTGCTCCCCCTCCCCGCCCGTTCAGCTGAGGACGCAGCGGAGGCTGGGCTGGGGGCGGCAGGGACCCCCGGCGATGCTGCCGTAAGAGAGAGAGAAAGAGAGAGAGGAAAGAGAGAAAGGGAGGAAACAGAGAAAGAGAGAGGAAAGAGAAAGAGAAAAAGAGGAAAGAGAAAGAGGAAAGGAAAGAGAAAAAGAGGGAAAGAGAGAGGAAAGAGGGAGAGAGACAAGAGAGAGAGGAAAGACAGAAAGAGAAGAGAGAGGAAAGAGAAAGAGGAAAGAGAGGAAAGAGAGAAAGAGAAAGGGAGGAAAGAGAGAGAGAAAGAGAACGGGAAGAGAGAGAAGAGAGAGAGGAAAGAGAAAGAGAGGAAAGAGAGAGGAAAGAGAGAAAGAGGGAGAGGAATGGCGCTTCTCCAACCAGGCTGGGCAGAGCCGGCAGAGCGGCCTTCCTGCCCCCCCCCGGCCAGCTGGATGGTGGGTTGGGGGTCACCACAACATGAGGAACTGTATTAAAGGGTCGCGGCATTAGGAAGGTTGAGAACCACTGCTCTAAGCGGTAGTTAGAATGCAATATTGCAGGCTAACTTTGCTGACTGCCAGCAGTTTGATCCTGACCGGCTCAAGGTTAACTCAGCCTTCCATCCTTCTGAAGTTGGTAAAATGAGAATCCAAATTGTTGGAGGCAATATGCTGACTCTTAGAGAGGACCATAAAGCACTTGAAGCGGTATATAAGTCTAAGTGCTATCTATTGCCATATTGTAATATTTGGGCAACTGTTTATAATGATTTTACCTTGAGAGAATATCAGAAAATTGCAGAAAAAGCAAATTAAACAAATCCAAACCATTACTGAAGAATAATCAGGAACTACAAAATTCACAGGAATTATGCTTGACATCCTGGCACCTCTAGGCAATCTCTAGGTAATCCTGGCAGATCTCCAAAAGCTAAGCAGGCTCAATTTGGAAATCTTAAAAACATTTTGTAAAAAGGCAGTCAGAAAGTGCCTGCATCTATGTAACTGCCAATACCATTGAGTAATTTAATTGTTAATAGTTTAATAAAAGTTAAGTTTAATATTCAAATCAAATTGATTCCTGCAAATCTAATTGAAAGCAGAGATAATGTACACAGTATGTTGGGAAAATTAGTTTTTGTAAAACAGCTTGTGGAAGATTCAGCCATCATAAACATCAAGCTAGTTTGGTGAAAACAGCCAGGCCAATGTTTATAAAAGGTCTTTTATTATTTTGTACAAAGAATTTGTCTGCAAAATGGACAAATTCCAAGCATATTTCCCATCAGTCACCAAGCATTGTATCTACAATACCAATGAATGTGTCTATAGAGTCCAGGAAGGCATTTGGGAATCTTAAGAGCATCGCAATATGCCATCAATTAGTTTTTAGGGAATATTTAGGCTTCCACTCTAGAACTGATTGACAATGCCACTTCATCGGAACACATATGCTTGGATCCAAAGTAATAGAATGGCAGCTATTTGGACGTCTGTTGGAAAAACGATCCAGTCGCTCCTACAGGGCTCCAAAATTTTCTCAGCAGCATTGCCGAGGGCTTCATTTTCCAGGAGGCTGAACCAGACAATTAGGTCGCTCTCCCAGATCTGACAGCGCAAAGGGGGGGAGAAGAGAATCCAGTTGAAGGGAAGGGTGGGAGAGAAGGAAAAGACAGCGCTCGCAAGCCTAAACAGCTTAATCAAGCAGGGGATCCAACAGGAACCTTCACAGTGCAGCATAATTATGAACTTCTGGCTACGCTCCACTTTCTTTATCAACGGATGTGCGGAATAGCTAGCACGGAACGAAACTGCTTACAATATTTCGGAATAATATGCGTTATTTAAGCGAAATAGACCGGTAGGGCTCCTGCGATGTTATCGACGGCGGTACCTTTCTCTAAATACCGCTTTGGGTTAAGTGAAATTTTACCCTTTCCCCCCCGTTTTGCGCGCGTAATTTCTTCTGCGCGCCAACTGACAGCCTTGCCCAAGGCTTGACTTGATCGCAAGGAAGGTGAGCTTCCGAGTGGAGTCGATTTGTTCGTTCCCGCCAAAGCCGCGACTGGCGGGCCTCCTTCCGCCGCCGCTTCTGCGCCGCTGCTCTGGGCCGGGCGGAGGCGGGGCGAGCCGCTGGAGTCGTGGCTGGAAGCTTATCCGAGGTTGCAACAGCAACTTCTGTGTGCGCAATATGGCGCAATTTCCCATCAAAGAACTCAGAAAAATGCCTTCCGTAACGCTAGGTGGCTCACGAAAATCCTCCCCCTCCCATGCCAAATGTTGGGCAAAACGACCTTTTGCTTTCTTACTGCTATTTCTGGGGGCTCTCAAGTGCTCCGTCTCCGGCATTGAGAGCGAGGCTGAGATTCCTCTTCATTCCTGTCTTTCACCCCCGCCTTCCGGCCCGGCCCACTTTCCAGTCCTCCTGGTGGATCAAGCGCTAGCGTTCATGCCGCTCGAGGAGGCGCACTGGGCCGATCTTGGCAGGCTACTCAAAATCCGGAAGGTCGGTGCCGATTACCGTTTGGATGGGAGACCACCAGAAAATCACCCAGTGGAAGTCGAGAAATCACCCAAGAAGGAGGCAATGGCAAAACACTTCCTTTGTGTTACCTGAAAATCAGAGTGGAATTTGCAGCTAAGTTCCACTTGAGGGAATCCTTATCTTTTTATCCATCTTCATGGTACCTCAAGATTGTTCTTGTTCAGGACGTGTGTCTGAAATACTTGGGGCTGGGAATCGAGGGGTGGTGGGTGGGGTCCTTCAAACAATTGTTTATTTGTTTAAATTTATATGCGACCCATTTCATGTTCTGGCACACATCAGGTATGAAACTTCCAATCTTCTGCAAACGTATTGAGGGCGCCTTCAAGAGGATGGATGGATGGATAGATGGATAAATAGATAGATGATACAGAGAGAGGGGGAGGGAGGGAGGGAGAGGGAGATTTAGCGCAAATCTTTTTTTCTGTTTCTGCAACACTGAATTTGTCTGTGCGCTGAGCTCAGATGCCTTCTTTACCAGGAAAACTGGTATTGCGGGTTTAATAGGAAAAGAAGCAGCTGCTCCGCGCTCCCTCTTCTAAGTTTCTACCTCTTTCCTGAGGGTGTTGGTTTTGAGAACTTCCTTCCGGAGGGAAAGTTTGCCAGCAGAAAATCTATAGGTTTCTGTGTTTCCGAAAAGCTCTTTTTACA